GCAACAAGGCGACACAGTTGGAAGCTGAAGACACAGATGAATCACAGGGATGTTAGGAAGTATTTCTTCAGCCACAGAGTAGTCAGGAAGTGGAATAGTTTGGGAAGAGATGTAGTGGAGGCAGGATCCATACATAGCTTTAAGCAGAGGTACGATAAAGCTCATGGTTCAGGGAGAGTGACCTAATGGCGACCAGTGAAGAGGCGGGGCCAGGAGCTTGGACTCGACCCCTGCAACCTCAACTAGGTGAGTACAACTAGGTGAGTACACACACAAAAACACACACACATCATAACTATAAAAACAAAGTACCATAGTGGGATAATATCCATCAGAATAACCCTCGTATATACTGACATAGAGAAGGTAAATATATTTTTACGAAGTTGGGGAAAAAAAACACCAGTAAAGCCTTTAACAACAAATGTAAATTTGGCAAGGGATGGTAGAGACTAGCGATATAGCGTTGGTTAGCTAATCTCAATGAGCAGTGGGTCACACTGACCAGTGGGTCACACTGACCAGTGGATCACACTGACCAGTGGGTCACACTGACCAGTGGGTCACACTGACCAGTGGGTCACACTGACCAGTGGGTCACACTGACCAGTGGGTCACACTGACCAGTGGGTCACACTGACCAGTGGGTCACACTGACCAGTGGGTCACACTGACCAGTGGGTCACACTGACCAATGGGTCACACTGCTCACTTCGGATGACCAACATTTCTTTGCACTTTTTACCTCACTATTCTGAAGTGACATTTCACGTAATTAATGCCATGTGAGACATAAATTTAAGGTAAATTACTTATTAGGTTAGGTAACCCTTGTCACCACTCCGCATTTCTCATGCTGTGACCTGAGTGCCAGGACGCTACACTGAACGTATTGCAATGTTCCAGTTCTGTGTAACTTACTGGAAGAGAACACCCGAAACCCCTTTCTTTGAACCAGACCCCCCCAAAAAAAAAATTTATTAAAAAAAATGTTTACCAGCAATTTTAATTTTTTTTTTTTATTTAGTTAATATTTTTTAAATATTTTTCCAGCCGTTTTCCAAGAGATTGAAATTTTTACCTACAAAATTAGAGAGAAATGTGGTCTAGTTTTCTTTTATTTTGCAAGAAAATATTTTTGTGTACTTTCTCTCACTGAGTCTTATTCCATAGCGAATGTTTGGTAACATTTATTCATATGACTCAATTATTTTGTCAAAACAAGACGAAATTTCACAATCACGAGAGTGTTACATCTCCGCAGTTTAGCTGAGTAGATTTGGTGTTTCAGTTTATTATGTAATTAAATTATTGTAATAAACAGGCATTAGTACCAAACTTGCACACGAAAATTACTCCCAATAAAAGCAAAAAATTCAGCAGGAGATGCAGCATCCCTCCCCAGTGAAAAACAGAGACGGCTCGATAAGTATCAGGGGCCCAAGACTGTTCAACTGCCTCCCAGCATACATGAGGGGAATTACTAATAGACCCCTGGTTGTGTTTAAGAAGGCACTGGACAGTCACCTAAAGGCAGTACCTGACCAGCCGGGTTGTGGTTCGTACGTCAGTTGCGTGCGGCCAGCAGTAACAGCCTGGTTGATCAGACCCTGATCCACCACGAAGCCTGGTCTCAGACCTGGCCGCGGGAGCTTTGACCCACGAAATCTTCTCCAGGTATACCTCAGGTACGCTCGATTTTTCCATCTAAAATTCATACTTATTAATATTACGCTATTTTGTTTAGACATCACAATGATGACTCAGAAGTTGATCAGATTTATGTTATTTGCAGGTCCAGATTTATGTTGTTTACAGGTTCAGTGTTCAGGGAAGGCTCGTATGATTTTCCTGAATACTGAAGTAAAGACAATATGAATCCTGCATATAAAGCAACGACAACAAAACACTAAAAAACAATCATCATAAAAAAATAAATTACTTCATCATGCACATACTGTAACATATATATGAAAAAGAATTAAAATATTACCTTAATTGTTCTATTTTCTTTCTCTACATTTTGCAATATACTCCTACTGAAACGTCTGAATATTGCAGCTTCTGGTTCATAAACAACACATACTTCAGTATGTCCATCTTGTAAGAACCACGTATGGAGCTTCTGGTTCATAAACAACACATACTTCTGTATGTCCATCTTGTAAGAACCACGTATGGAGCTTCTGGTTCATAAACAACACATACTTCAGTATGTCCATCTTGTAAGAACCACGTATGGCACAATTTGCATCCTAGAAACACAAATAACCTCACATTCTTTTAGTCATGGAAAACTGAAGCTGTTATTAGAAAAACAAAAAGAATGATGCAAAAAAATAATAGATATGATAGGGGGATTAGTATTCATTTCTCCCACACCTCCCGTGTTGGGACCACCACCCAACCACCTGTGTTGGGACCACCACCCAACCACCTGTGTTGGGACCACTACCCCACCACCTGTGTAGCTACAGGACACCATTAACGTAGCTGCCTC